GTGTTCAAAGATCCTCGGCTTAGCCGAGAAAAATTATCAGCCATTCCAGAATTCAGAAGACCTCATCTTCAGATTTCTGGGGGGGCAGAGGGAAATAGAGAAATGGCACAACTGATCTAATACCCTTCAGCTCAGCCGAAGTTTGATACTTATGTCAGTTTTTTCACAAGTTGAAAACATCCGAGTACAAACGGCAAAAAGAAGTCTCAGCAGAAATGATTCTCGCTAGCCGAAGTTCTGCACTTAGCAAATATTTGAAAGATCATTCAAAGAAAGCAGTAAAGTGCGAAGACTGGTAAAGCGAAGAAAAAAAAAATACACAAGAAAGCTGAGAAAGTGAACTTCTTTGAAATAAAAATGTTGAATTACAAAAATAGTCGGCAGCCGCCCACAAGCGGAAAGTAACAGCTGCCGAAATACGTACAGGCAAAATAAAAATATAATAAGCTGTTGTACGATAAGGCAAGCTGAAGCAAAAAAAAACAAAAGGCAAAAACTCAGAAAGCGGCAAGTCTAAAGTTAAGCACATGATGAACCGCAAGATTCTGAAGACGACTGCCCGAGTTCCTATGCTTCAGCCGGAGGATCAGACTGATCAGCGTTGAGTCCCATGGTGGCCTCAGCCCCAGCAGCAGAAGAGGCGGGCTTTGCACTTTGCCGAGCCTCCCTTTCCCTCTGCTCAGCTTCCAACTCCAGTCTTTCAGCTTCCTCTTCGGCTTCCTCAGCCTTAAGAATTTCAGCTTCAGCTGGAGTTGCATACTTCATGTGAGGGTCTTCGGGATTCTGGACCCACTCAGCACATTTAGACCAGTCCAGCTTCGGCTCAGCATGAAGGCAGAGTCTTCGGCATACTCGGAATCCGTTTCTGAAACCCATCTCATATTCCTCTTGGGTGTAAACACGGACTTTGAGTAAAGCCTCAGCATCAGCCAGCTTCTTCTGGGTCTCCTCCAAGTCCTCCTTGGATTTCTTCAGCTGTTCAGCGACTTTGGAGGAGGACCCCTTCAGCTCATTCAGCTCTTGCTGAATTTGGAAAGCCTTTGTCTGAGCTTGGGCCACTTCAACTTTCTGGATCAGCAGTTGATCCTCAGCCTCTTGGAATTTAGCTCTTTGAGCTTCAGCAGCAGCAGCAGCCTCTGAGAGTTGGACGTCTTTGGCCAAGAGCAACTCTTCAGCAGCCATTCGGCTGGCTTCAAGAGCCTCTAGACGCTGCTGCACTTCAGCTTGTGCAGCAGTTCCTTCTTGAATTCGGCTCTCAATAGCAGCCTTGAATTTGGAGACGTCCACTCCCATATGCTCCTGGAGGAATTTTTCCCCTTCCATCAGTGGGGGAAAAACCTCCATCTCCATAGCATCGCAGAAGGTTTTCAGAGCTTCGGCAGCTTTTTTACCGTACTCCTCAACCTCCTGCTGCTTCTCTTCAGCTGCTGCTTGCTTCAGCTTAGCAAGCTTAACTTCCTCTTCAGCCACCTTCCTTTCGTGCACAGCAGCGTCTACCCTATCTTGTAGGGTATCAATCAGCTCTACAGTGAGAGTCTGATTGTGCACGAACTGAAAACAGGAAGACAAAAAAAATAAGTAATAAGAAAAAAATAGAGCTGAATTTCGGAGGAAATGAAGGAAAATTACCTGCATCATCAGCAGTTGGTTAGACCTGGCTGGGTCAGGAACTGATCTACTGGATTCGCCCATCCCAGCAGTGGCCTTCAGCGACCAGATCCTTGCCCTGTCTACTTCGGACATGCCAGCAAAATTGCCGAAGTAGGCTGCAGCTCCTTCTCGGTTTTGACCCCATATGAGGTCCCAGATGTGATCTGGGATTGGAATTCGGGGGGCCGAGAAACCCATTTCTCCAGAATGCAGAGTCTGGAAAGAAGGGAAGGACGACGATGGAGCTTGATTAGCTTTGGTTGTCTCAGCATCGTCCTTCTCAGAGGAGTCAAGTACTATGACCTCTTCTTCAGGGGTGAGGACGAAAGCCTCAACCTCTCTTGCGATATCTGCCGTGAAGCCTTCAGCACTTGACATCATGGCATCTTTATTTCCGTGCTCAGCAGCACTCTCCTTGATTTCTTCTTGGACCCCTCCCTTAGGTTCGGGAGTCCTCTGATCCACCTCCATCTCAGGAGGTGGCGGAGGGGTCTTTTGAGGAGATTGGGGTGTTGGCTGGGGAACCCTCGGCGATCCATTGCCTTCCTCAGGTTCCCTTATTGCGACGCCGATGGTCATCGGCCTCTGCTGAAAGTCATGAGGGCCGATGATGGCCATCCTTCGGCGCCTTTTCAGAAGGGGCTGCTCGTCCATATCTGAGTCTGAAGACTCTTGTATTTGATCTTCGGGACGAACAGGAGCTTTGCCTTCTCTGTGTCTGTTACTCTCTTCAGACTGTAACAGACAGGGGGGAAGAAGAGTGTGAGTAAAAAAAAAAAAAAAAGAAGAAAGACAAAGTTAAGTCTAAAGGCTCACCGAGGTCTTCAGCAAAGCCTCGTCTTCTTCAGCTGCCCTAGCCGCAGCTTCTTCAGCAACTCTGGAGGACCCTTCTCCACCTTCACAAGCTTCAATAACCCGTGCAACCTCTTCGGCTGTACGGGCAGCTTCAGCTTCTTCTTCCAGCAGCTGAAACAAGGGATCTCTCTTCTTCCACCAAGGCTTCTGCCTCTGATACAGAGCAACAGCCTCAATTTGGAAGTGGGAAGAGTCTAGGTGAACCTCTCGGCGCCTTGGTTCAGTGATAGGGGGAGCCCGATCAGTTACGACTCGTTCTCGGTTGACGCCAAGGCGAGCGTAATCAATGCCGACGTTGGTCTCGTCCCGTTCTGAAAAAGAAAAGGGGAGAAGTCAATTCAGTTAGTTCGGCACATCACAAGAAAGCAAAATGAAAGAAGAAAAGAGATAATTAAAAGGCCTCGGCCCCAGCCGAAGAAGATTACCATCCCTAAACTTTCGGCTGAGGCCGACAGCTGCCAGCATATTCTCTTGGAAAACGTAGTGCGTATCGGGGAGCCAAGTCTCCGGGATATGCTGCATTCGGCCGCTGCCTCCCCGGTTCGGCAGCTTGCCGAAGATGTTCTGCTGATTAAGGTTCGGGTCTGGCCCGCTATCTTCGGGAGGACCTAAACTTCCCATATCAGGATCCGGCTCGGCAAGATACCGGGGAGCGCTGAAAACGTAAGGGTGGCTCGGCTCCGTGGGTGCCCTAACCCAAATCCATTGACCTCTCCAGTCCTTGTCTGAAGAGTCGTTCGGCCACATGGTTAGGAACGGGGGCCGAGACTCAATCCGATACCACCCAGAGCCATGGCATCCGTGCCCACTTTGAATGTTTGGCACTAGCCGATGGAGCCTTTTGAAGCAATGCAGGTTCGGCACGTACCTGAAGAATTTGCAGACCCATAAGTACGTCACTACCCTTCGGATGCTGGTGGGGGTCAGCTGGCACAGGGAAATGTTGTAATGGATCAGCAAGTCTCGGACGAAAACGTCCAAAGGGAACCTCAGCCCATACTGAAGCTGTCTCGTGTACACCCCCACATACCCCGGGGGTGGACGATGGATTCTATCGGATGCTGAGGGCATTCGGCACCAATATCCATCAGCTTCAAAAATGCCGTAGTGCAACTCAATTTGCTCGGCAAATCGATATTGATCGGCGTTCTCTACCCACCATGAGTAGGGGCGGTTCTTTATCATGGCCGAAGCGACTTCGGCATTCTCCCACTCTGAAAACCCAGGGAGGATATCCCAAAGGACAGCGGGAATTTCATCGTCCCGTCCAGAAGCACTCGGCTCATCCGTTCTTTGAGGAGGAGCCGAGGAAAGGGGAGTCGCCCTAATCCCATCAGCAGGGTCAGACTCCGGCCTTCGACCATTCCAGGTCCCAATCCTATTCCTAGGATCGGGAATCGGCCTTGCTCTTCTTGGAGCACGGGCTCTACCTCTAACTCCTCTTGCCATGGACTATTTCGAAGGAAAAAGTCGAAAAAGGGGAAAGAGTGCAAAGTCGAAGAAAAATGAAATAAAATCAAAGGAATTTACCTTGATCTGAAGCAAAAGTCGCCGATTTACGAATTGGTAGTGACAAGTCTCAGCTTCTAAGCTTAATGCTCGGGGAATTTGCGAAGTTTTGATGCGGGCTCTTGAGCGTTCTTGAGAATTCTGGGTTTGTGTTGATGAATGAGTGGGGAGAGAAGACGCGCCTCTATTTATATCTCCAGAAATGGGAATTCAAGGAGTCTGCGTTTCAATTTCTCTCAAGCACCCCACTAAGTAACCGTTAAACACACGACCTTGCAGTTAAATCGCCCACTACCCGTCCAACTTCCGCAATTATCCACATTAACTGTTGTTATCTCATTAATCATGGGTTAATTACGGTTTAAATTCACATTTTTGGATTAACAAATCATTCACTTCCCTCCTTTTCTGATTAAATCAAACCCGACCCGTCATCCTTCCAAATCGGGTCTGGGGGGCAAGTTGTTTGGGTCCAATTTAGTCCAATTGGGCCTGGTCACTGAATGATCCAATTAAAAGCCCAAGGTTAAGGTTCAACTCTCCAAATGTGCTAAAGTCAAAAATCAACATCCTCAAAGCCATGTCAAGGTCAGTCAACGGCCCAATCAGCTTGGCCCAGCCCAACTGACTTCCGGGCCCAATCCGCCTCCTTCATTAGCCAAGGTATAAAAGCCAACAATTTGGTCAATTCTTGGTAAGACAAAAAAGCCTCAAGCAACTAAACTCTTGCACAGCTTTCTCTCTCTAATATACTGACTTAAGCATCGGAGGGGCCTTCCTCGGCGTCCCCCCCGAGGCTAGTTTACGTGTATTTGTTGTGCAGGAAACCCTCGGCTCCTGCGTCGTTCGGACCGAGACCAAGTTCCCTCAAGATAAAAGGATCTTCCGAGATTCGATTGTTTTCATCCGAAACACGTGGTACTTTTATATACTACAAGAATTACTCTTATGCACAAAAAGAAACTACGGATATATAGAAAACTTACATATGCGTTTGAACTTATCTTTAATATGAACCATATGTTCACGTTCACTATTTGTGACACGAAAGTAGTAATCAGGATACTCGGATTGAAGTACAAAATTAGGTGGGTTAGCCCTCCCAATTGCTAGGATGCTAGCCGCACCCTCAGCTCTCTGACCGTTCCTAATTTCATTAACCTTCTCCGTTTTCCTAATCCTAACCAAAAATGATCTTAGTTTTTTTCTTTTTTCACACTTAGCTTGTTGCACTAGTAGGTACTAGGTAGTAGTGTTGAGTGAGGTTTGATTGCGCAAAATGAATCTAGAATCCTGCGCAATTTATAGGCAGTGTAACGTACTTACATGGCACTATTGGGTGCTCGCATTTCTTGAGTAAAACTAAGAGTCAAAAACTATGGAAATACTCGCACAAAATATTTGACCAATCATATGTACTTTAGGTTATTTTCTCCAACTCACAGAATTAGACCCGGGACCCTTTGCTTTGTTTTGCCATTAGCGCATGCAATTGACTAGTTTATAACAAGGACTAGTTTATAACAAGTGTTAATGCATGAGATATATGTACTATTAATTTAATTAATACGAAGTATAATTATTATTGCTTTTATTCTCATGTTTTTATCAATCCTAATAGGGTTATCTTTGAAGATGAATAATTTTTACAAGACTAATTATGACTTATCAGTTGAGAGATGAGGTTTTGAGGAGCTCTTGTTAAAGTAAATTTTAGATGACAAAGTAATGTAAGTATTTAAATATAAGTATTTAGACATATTACACAAGTGTTTAAATATCTCAACTTTTGAAATCTAGCTAGATTTAAATTTTTGGGCAATTCATATAAGTATTAATTTTACACAAGTCTTTATATGTGGCTGGCTACACGAACATTGACGAAGTAATCCCTGTAACACTGACCAGATAACCCTCATTATGGCTGACCACACGGTGCTCGTTAGCATGATCCAAAAGAAAGTTTTGGGATTTAAAGTAGCAACTTTTTTCCAAATCATTAAATTTAGGAAAATTTGACTTTTACTACCACTAAAAAGTATCACTTTGACTTTTGTTGTCTGTCTAAAATTTTATTTTACTACCACCAAAAACACAAAAAAAAGAAAAAAAATAGATTTTGCTACCACTTAACAGTTTCAGTTAGGATTTTGTTAGTGGTCAGCCATTTAATTTTTTTTCCTCGATTTGTGTGTCGAAAAATATTCCGTTAAGATTTTAAGGGGGTCACTTTAGCTCCAAAGGTTCCAAATTGAACTCAAAATTGGCAAAAATATTAATGTAAATGCCTCATTTTGCGTATCAAAAAATATCGATTTGCGTTCAACTATTCTTTTGCCGCGAAATTTTCTCGGGTAAGGTTTTATGAGTTATTTTAGGTTTTAAGGGTCCAAATTGAGCTCGAAATTGAAAAAAAAAATAACGTAAATGTCTCGTTATATATGTCCAATCTTGTCAATCTCGAGTTCAATAATGTCGATTTAAACACACAAAACAAAATCAGTCAATCAATCAAAGCCTTAATCCCATAAGCGGGGTCGACTACATGAAACAAATTTGATTATTCCATGTAGTCATCCACAAAATCTTCCTCCTCCATCCCTTACGATCCAATGCTTCATCCTCATGCAAATTCATATACTTCATATTCTTCCTAACTCCTTCCAACCAAGTATTTATGTTAGTTTTTTGTCAATTTTGAGCTTAATTTGGATCCTTAAAAGGACTAAAATGACCCATAAGACCTTACCTGAGAAAATTACGCGGCAAGAAAAATAGTTGCTTGCAAATCGAGACACTACTTACGTTAATTTTTTGTCAATTTTGAACTCAATTTGGGTTCTTAAGAGTCAAAATGACCCTCTAAAACCTTAGTGGAACATTTTTCGGCACGCAATTCGCGGAATAAATACATTGGCTAACCACAAACGGAACTCTAATTGAAACCATTAAGTGGTAGCAAAATCAATTTTTTTGTATTTTTGGTGGTAGTAAAATAAAATAAAATTTTAAATAGCTGGCAAAAGTCAAAGTAATTCCTTTTAGTGGTAGTAAAAATCAAATTAACCTTAAATTTATAAATATAAAGACATTAGGTCAATTATTTAAGGGATTGAATTGGGGTTAAATATTTGGTTATGTGTATAAATTCACTTCATCATCTATTCCCAAAAGTTGTTATTTTGAATCTAGACAATATTCACAAGAAAAGTTTTTTCCAATATATATAAGAAAAAACATGAAGATGTAGGTTTTTATTTATTCCATTCATCTCAATTAATTCTTGTAAGAATATCATGTTTTTATATATTAAAGAAGATTTGATCATCAAATACCGGCTGATTACTCTATTCTTTTTCAACTTTTCTTTTGTATATAAAAACTCTTGTTAATTTCATTTTTGACACTTTAAATGAGACGGAGAAAGCACTTAAATCCACCAATAACTCAAGTACTCAACTCGAATTATGTTAGAGATTTGACATCAAATCGTATCGGAAAATATGTGTGTGTGATATATATTTTTCATATTGATATTATCATGAGAATAATATATTTAGGATTATTTATTTTAAAGACATTATTTAGTGAATATATCTTTATGATTTATAGTTGTGGTAGTATATCTGTTAGAAAAATTGTTTCCTATATTATGATCTTAGGTTTTGTATACTCTATCTATTGATGAATAACAATAAATCTATAAAGCTAAACTATTTAGCTCTTTTCCTAAATATGTCATGATATCTGTTGAGTCCCTTAGGTTTTGATTGATAGTTTTGAATGATGACAAACAGCTAAGGGAAACAGGTCTTTGAAAGTGTTCAATACAGTTGGGGGAACCAACTAAAATAGAACACTGTTTTCCTAGATAAGTTATTGATTATATGAGTTATCTATTGAACTAACTTATCTATATACAGGAAACAGTTAGATGATAAATGTGCTATGTACTGGTGGGGAACCAGTATGAACCGTTTCCTTGACTGCTATGCGGAAAAGCAGTCACATACTCTTTATTGTGCATTAACCATGTTACATGTGCAGTAGTTGAGTTGATTCCAAGACTTGGAGCATAGAAGCCTTTCGAAGATATTTCGAAGAAAGATTGTTTGCTCATAATAGAAGTATTCAAGGAAGATTCAAGTCTTGAAGATTACATGAAGAAAAGACGATTTATGCTTTAATATGTTATCTAGGTTTTCATGTAATATGCTCCGTAGTATGCTTGCATGTTTGGGTTATATAAGTGCTTAAAAGTATATTGAAGTATGATATGAAATCTGGTACAAAGTTGGAACAGGTTTCATAACATGTTTCAATTCAGGGAACCAGGTCGGGGAACCAGGTTCACTGTACGAAATATTCGAGCTGCCGTTTTGGAAAAAGATTTTACAAAAAGATTTTTTCGAAAAGATTATTTTGAAAATATTTTGTGCAGCTGGAAATAAGATGAAATATTCTTGGTTACCTAAAAACTAGGAGTATTTATCTTAATTGATTCTATCTTTGTGATTAAATCAAATAAGATAAATACTTTCCTAAAATTACAATATATCTTATTCTCTAAGATTGTGTGATTTAAGGAAACTAGGTTTTAGGAATCTAAGCTTATATAAACTCATCTTATTTCACATATTTCGTGTGCCTCTCCAGAAATTAAAAAGAGCAATTATTTGAGAGCATATACTTAAGCACTAATCCCATTCATCAAGTCATATACAAGAGCATTCTAGTACAAAAACATTTTCTCTTAATTAGCTTCGTAGAAGTGAGATCAAAGGAGAGTTCTTGATTCTTGTATTGAGTCTTTAACAAAGGGGTTAAAGGCTGGGTGAGTGTTTGTGAGTTCAAACACATTGGGCTTACGAGTGTAAGTCGAGAGCACACTCGGAGTAGAGTGTGGGGTAGACTGGTTCCCGGAGTAGGGAAACAGTAGAGTGTTCTTTGTCTTTGTTTTTCGGAGTAGATTAATAAAGGACTTAGGATAGGAGGACGTAGGCCTGAGTTGGCTGAACCTCGTTAAATTTGTTGTGTTCTTTATTGCTTTGTTTTATTCCGCTGCATAAGGAAACCAGCACAACTGGTTCCTTACACATAATCCGAAAAGAAGCAAAAATCGCTAACGATTACTTAACACTCAATTCACCCCCCCCCCCCCTCTTGAGTGCCCATTGAACCTTCAATATCATAGCAGGTTAGATCTTAGGAGCGTTCGCAGAAAAATTTCCCCCTACCCCTAGGTTATAAAATTAAACCCACCTGTGCATGAAAAAATTGCTTTAATTTTTTTTTACAGTACGTACATTTTATTAGTTGGAAATATACTTGCATTACCTTTGGGCTTGTGCTGCTTGCTGCAATCTAGTCATGGATTCATGGAGGAATATTTTTTGTGAGTTTGTTGACAAGGTGAAAACAAGGGTCTAACATTTGAGCTGTGATTTTGTTTTATTTATTTTTTTAAAAAAAAAGTAAAAAAAAAATCGACTCTCTTATGTCGTGAGACAAGACATCTAAGTTCTCCTTTTACGTGACATAGTTTATATTGGTTCTTCTTATGCTGTGAGACAAAGGTTTTAATTGATTTGAGTGTGGTTTGCTCAGGAAAAACCAAAATACGATGATTGGAGCTCGGTTTTGCTTAAGAAAAGCCAAAATACGACAAGTTCGAGAAGAAGAGACGTTCTAGTTGTAATGTTATATTTTCAGGTTACGTTAAAAAAGAATATAATGACATTCCTGCTTGATTGATGAGTTCGAAAAAGAAAAAACATCCTCATTTTTGAAAAAAAAAAAAAAGAATTTGAAGGCGGCATCACCAGAGTAGTGCATCTCGACTTCAACCAAAGCAAAAATGTCCAATCGCAACGTTCGTGTTATTGTCGTTACAATTGCGGGAGGGTGTTAGTGATTTGAGATCAAATCCTAGTAGAACATATATATATATATATATATGTATGTATGTATGTATGTTAGAAAGATTATTTTCTATCTTATAATCTTAAGTTTTGTATAAATAATCTACCTATTAATGAATAATTAATAAAGACATACTATTAACTCTTCCCCTGAATTTGTCAAATTACAAGGTTTAAACATGGATGGCGTGAACAAAAAAATGCTATCTTCGTTACAATATCTTGAGGGAGACGTCCCATAATTTTTTTATTTTTTATATTTTTTACGTCCCATATTGTGCAATATGGTACATTTTAATAATACAAACTTAATAAAAATAAATAAATAAAAAAAAAAAGTAAAGAAAGAAAAATTCACATTCTTTTGGCTCTTCCGTAAAACATCAATATCCAATATTATTGACTCGACGAGTCGACGGTGACCGTAAAGAAGGATTAACTAATAGCCTCATTCAGAGGAGAATATTCATCGACCATCAACGTCTAATAACGCAAACGAATTTGAATTATATTGTGTATATAAGTGTATTTTTCTTTTGTAATGTATATAGATTCTCCAAAATAGTTAAAAGACAAATAAAATGAGGTAAAGGGCGGTGTGTTATTGTTTTCATTGCTTGGATCTTGTCAACGAACATCCTCGGGGCGTTAGTAATGTATGATCACGCGTCAATCGGTGTACTTAATGTTCATATTAATTCAATGTTTTTGCTTTTAGTTATATTATGCAACGCCTCGAGATGTTCATTAGCTTTTACTTATATAATTAGCTGACACATGTTGACTTTTCCCCTTATTCATCTATACAATACAGTGTTGTTTGGTTGGAAAATAATTTCCTTGGATATGGAATTTCCTAGGAATAATTATAATGAAGGTGTGTTTGGTTGGAGGGAAATAAGGTAAACATGGGAAATAGCAATTCCAAGGGAAATAGAAATTCCCACAACCCATGGAAAATTACTCACCAAGTCCTCCCTTGGTGAGTTGAATTTCCTAGAATATGCAATTTCCTATGGTGTCAACCAAACAATTTAGTTTAATTTCTAGGAAAATTATAAGGGAAAAATTTCCCATGAAATATAAATTCCCATGGAAAATTAATTCTCATGTGAACCAAACGAGCACTACGTTTTGCTAACTTTTGTGTTTTATTAGCACGAGTAAGAAAAATCATAGTAATGTGGGGTGTTGTTAGGTCCTCTAAATGTGGATTTTTAAAAAATTGAACTTGTTATAATTGTTAATTAGCTTTTTTTTTTCTTCTTTTTCAGGGATAAAGAACATCCTCACTGGCACGAATTGAATAAAAGAAACACGTCAACTTATAAACAAAAAAAATAGAGTAACCAAGTAATTTTAACTAACAAAAATAAATTACTTTGTATGATCATGTGAGAATTACTTAGATATAATTTGTTATTAAATGTGTATTTAAAGTTTTAATTATCCTACTACAAAAGCAAAATTGAGACATGATTAGTCTTTCCCATTAAAAATACCACTTCCTTTGTTATTAAATAAGTGTAATATATATTACATATCTCACTGGCATGTATTCCGTATTTAATAAGAAGGTGATTAAAAGAGGTAAATGACCAAATTAGCTACTGTAATACTTCATATAATTTGAACACCAATAAGATAGACAAGTGTTATGAGTGCTATCGATATGTTGTGCAAAACGTCACATTATATTATAAACTAGATGGAAGTCTGTGCGATGCACGCTTTTTTTCATCTAAGATTTTTAATTATTTGATTTATTATATTTAATAATTTCAGACAAAATTACAAAAGTTTAATATTTATTTATTTTTCTATAATTTATAATAAATTTATTAAATATAAATAAATTGTAAATGTGATATTTTTTCCGTTATATAAAATCTTTAATGTGAAATGATAAATTTTTAATAATTTAAATCCTTAATCATTATTCATTGTTTTATCATATTTTTTTCCAATAGAATCACCAACCTCGTCCACAACCAACTTACTACATCAATGGATAAATTGAACCATGAAATGTTAGCCAAATTGAAATTGATATAAATTAAATCTTTACATTTATATAAAACAAATCAATATATTTACCAATAAATGAAAAATTGTTGCGATATAAAATCAAATCTATGCATTGGAATTTTTTCACCATCTCCAAAAATAACCAAAGCCATCCATATATCAAGTATACAACATCTAATCGTATGCCATTACATAAACAAATAGTCGTTAAGTATCCTAAATAAATACAATGTAACTAATAATTACAAATATAAATTTAAACATAAGATCTTAAAAATTACCCGGACATTGATGATTTAAAACTAACACAAAATTACTAACACAAAATTCCCTTGATGGGGTTTTGTATTGATACAAAATTTTATTTGTGTCGTATGATGTGTTAGATCTGCATGTAAAAAAACATTTAGTAAATAAAACATAAACATATAATCGTTGAGTATCCCAAATTATACAATGTAATTAATAATTAGAAATACTAATTTAAACATCGGATTTTAAAAATTAAGCTAAAAATTACCCGGCCATTGATGACAAAAAATTAACACAAAATTATTAACACAAAATTCGCTTGATAGGGTTTTTTTTATTGATACGAAATTTTGTTTGTGTCATATGATGTGTCAATTTATAATGGTAGGTATCACAAATTTTAATTTAATTATAATTAACGAATAATTTGTATTTCTTATCATAAATACCATCAAAATTTATTTTATAATGGTAGGTATCAAACGTTATTATAAGCGTTTTTTATTTAAATATTTTTTAGTATATTTTTTTTGGATTTCTTTTACTCGTAGTATAGAGTTAATAAATTTATCTTTTCCTATATTTTTACTTTATTTTTTTCATTAGAATAATTTAATTCTTGGATTAAAATCTATGTGGCATTAAAATTTTAGATATATCAAATCTAATTCGTTACTTTTATCTAGGTGGCGACATAATTTTTTAATTTAAAGATAAAATACAAATCTTTCTTCTTATTGGTCGAAATAAGTATATTTCTTACGTGGCGCTCCGAATGCTCTCCGAATGTATATATGTGTGTGTGTATATGTATATATATTAGATTTTCAAAAATTCAAATTTTAAATGTGATAATCAATAATGCACATTTAAAGATAATTGAGGATAAAGAACTTCCTCAAGGATTATTAAAAAATAAAAAAACAAATGGTGTAATCATTTAGTAAAATAAGAATTAGATAATAAGTCAAAAAGCAATTCTTTCAAAAAAAAAAAAAAAAAAAAAGAAAAAAGAAAAAAAATTCTAAAAGCAATGGGAACAACGGTTAGGTAAAAAAGAGTAACATTAAAGCATTGGAAAAGTTTGCGTGCATATGATTTGGTTTAGTTTAGTTAATAATGGATAACTATAGGCGCATAGTTACTATGGATTTAGAAATGTATAAGATGGCAATTGTGAAATTAAAATGAAGTTTGGTGAAGGAAAGTGGGTCATGCCTTTAACGATACAGTGAAAGCAAAACGGGGGAAGAAAAAAAGAAAAAAAGAAGCGGGAATTGAAATGTACTCACTTTTGCCAATAAATGGTAGGGAAAAAAAAATGGGGAATGGAAGCTCATGAACAATGGCGACATCATTGTTCTCAAATTCTTGAATTCTAAAGACCAAATTGCAAATAATTTGTGGTGAAGTAGATTATCAGGATGAGAAATCAGTTAGCCGACATTTTGGGTGTCGATCTAGCCAAAGCATTGGTGGAAGATGGCGAAGTCGGCCATGGATGCGCAAGGGAATTGCGATTCGACACTGAGAATGTAAGTATTAACCTTTGTTAATGTTGTTTTTTGAGATTTACTATTAGAAAAACCAATAGTAGCAACAAAATCTGCAAACCACTGATATTAGGCCCGAGGAGCCTATTTGAGGCCATAAAGAGATTTCTTAAGTAAACACACATGATCAAGGCGACTTTTATAGCGGAACCCCATGGGTTGATGCATATAAATTGTCTTATTGAGATAACCATGTAAGAAAGCATTCTTGACATCCCACTGGTGAATAAGCCAAGATTTAGAGATAGCAATGCTAAGAACAGTACGAATAATGGCCGATTTGACAACCGGACTGAAAGTCTCATCACAATCAACACCCAACTGCTGTGTTTTTCCATCACCTACAAGACGGGCTTTATGCCGCTCAAAAGAACCATCAGATTTCTTTTTATGACGAAAAATCCACATAGATCTAATTACATTCACATTCGGTTGCCTAGGTACCAATTACCATGTTTTATTAGAGCATTAAACTCTTCTAACATTGCATTTTTCCAATTTGGGTCACGAATAGCACTAACCGGATCTTTGGGTAAGGGAGATATGTTAGTGGTAGACATAGTAGTAAAGTTGGAAAAATATTTAGAATTTGGTTTATAGATGCCTTTTTTGCTCTAATTGTCATGTGATGGGAGGGAGGACTTGGTAGAGATGTGGGTGTGGGTTGGTCTAGGGAGGTTGTATGGGCTGGCCCAGTCAGCATAGGGGAGAGAAGTGGTGAACTGGGTTGCTCTACGGGGTTAATTGGTATACACTAGACCCTAGTGTAGGTAGGGATACCTACACCCCCCTCTAAACGATGCGTTTATCATGTTACCCACATCCCATAACCCACTAACCTACTGTAACTACCTACCATTCTCTCTAAAACCTTCTTCTTCATTTCTCTAGACTTTCTCTCTCATCAAAACTAGAAAATATGAACCAAAATTGCTTCAAAATACTACAAAATTGCTTCAAAATACTACGAAATTGCTTCAAAATATTGCTAAATTCCTTCAAATGTCTACATTTGCGAAGAAATTCAACAATCGCAACAACATTCACAGAAAGAGTAAGTAATTTTACTAATTTTTTTTGTATGAACCTATTTTTTCTACTACGTATTTCATTTTGAAATTACATGTTCAGAAACATAATCTAACTTGATTAGAACTATTTTATGCAAAAATCATTAAAATCTACTATGTTTTGTGTTTTTTTATTTTTTACAGAACCGAAAAATATATTTCGAATTAGAGAGATAAAGAGAATGATGATTCAGAGAAGAATCATGTTCGTTGAACATAACAAGGCATAGTCTGAAGAAACGTAAGTATTATTTCAAAAACCTATTTAAACAAGAGTAGAAATTTTTTTTAAAAAAAAAACAACGAACAAAAGTCTCAAGTTGTAGATCTAGAACTTTTAAAAGATATTAAAAAGTCTTATGGTATAGATGTTAACATTTCTACGATTCCGAGTTAATATATGAACATATATAGAATTATAAATGTTCATTTGTATATTTGAATTTATTTGAGTTTATATTTGACTTTATATGCCTAAATAAATAATGTTCATTTTTATGATATGTTATGCACATTTATGAAATGCATAAATAATCATTCATTTGAGTTGAGAAACTGACTTATTTATTCTATCAAATCTTTTGATCATTTATGAAATTCATAATGTTCATTTACATATAAAGTAATGTTCATTTTAAAATATATGTTAATATTGGTTCATTTCAGTTTACATATATATTTATATGCCTAAATAACGAATGTTCATTTCTTTTATACATTATCCTCATGTATAATATTGAGAATGTTCATTTGTATGCATTAAAACTAATATCTTACAACCAATCTAGCTATATTGTAGTGATGTCCAAAGTTACACATTTGATATAAATTTTCACATGGAATTGAAGAATACGTAGTTGTTTTGGAGAAGATAAAATGGCTTAACAACGCTGATTATACAAACTGCGGAGTATAAATTATGAAGCATATAGAAACATTCACTACTAAACTTAATGAGAGTTAGATTTGTGATTTGAAACCAAATAGTGTAAAAGTGATAAATGTTCAATAATGTAAGATATATTGTTCATTTATAAAGTAGTGTATATAATAATTAACATTTGTTAATTCATTTTGTTCAACAGGTGAACCAAATTAGGAAGCAAGGATGCGGAACTGATGCTATTTGAAGAAAAACACTAAATATAGGTTAAATCGAAGATAAGCAAGGAAGTTTGCAAATGAATAGTACATGTTATATGTTCATTTATGAAAGTGTATATGTTCATTAATGAATGTGTATATGATCATATCTTAAACTTCCTCCATTTCTTTTTACTTGCAACACAGCCTTGTGGCACGTGTTTTGAGGTCGGGTTTATATAATGTAAACGGATAAATTATTCATTATAATTTTTACAAATGATACTTAACCCTATTCTAATCTTCGTGTAAAAATTATATTGATAAAATAGCTCGTTTACCCTCACTAATCATCTCCTAAAATTGCGTGCCTAAAAGGTGTGTTGCAAGTAAAAGAAAACGGAGGAAGTATATAGTTTTATAGATGATTTTTTTTGGAGGAAAATAGACTTATAGATATTATTTGTTAAAAAAATTATTGTAATTGATATTTCATTTTAATCTTTATTTGTATGAAAAAATATATATAATTTTTAGGTTTTATGAATTGGTTGTTGGTTCTTTACTTTTGTTCATTTTCAAATTGATAAATAATCATTTACATATGTTGAATTTTAAAAAAACAATATACTAAAAAAGGTACTATATAGAAACAAATTCTTATGTCTTTAACACTTGAAGAACTTTGAACAAGAGCACCTTGATCATTTATTGGAACCGTGGGAGGAATAACTTAAACATTTGTCGATTGAACATTTCTGGAATGGGGTTTAAACATTTCTAGATTGAAGTTTGAACAATCCTGAGTTGAAGTTGGAACAATGCCAAGAACTACGGGTGGAACAAAATATCTAGTTTGAGATTTTGTAGACGCATTAGTACTCTTGGATTAACTTGAGCATCATTTTTAACACCAGCACCACCTTTATTTATAGGAACATTACATTGAGCTTGAGCAGCAGAAACACCAGCAACACTTTTATTTATAGGAATATTTAAATCCTTCGACTGCAAAACAAATTAAATGATCATATTAAAATATATAAATGTTCAATTACAAACACTTAAATAAACAGATAAGAAAAACAAAACTTTAGCAAGATATGAAATATCAGCTTTTTTTCCCACTGCACAAAGTTTTAATATACAATTATAAATGAACATAACAAGTTTCAAAAAATGATCATATTAAATCCTTTAAACACTAAATCCTTCGCCTTCAAATAAAAGTTAAATGATCATATTAAAATATATAAATGTTCAATTTCAAACACTTAAATAAACAGATAAGATCAAAACCTTAGCAAGATATGAAATATCAGTTTTTTTTCTCATTGCACAAAGTTTTAATGTACAATTATAAATGAACATAACATGTTTCAAAAATGAACAATAATTAACAAATACAATGTTCAATAGCAAAATTGCACATGATCAATATGGAAAATTTTGACACATAATATTATCAAGAAAAAATGGTAAAAACAAATAATCATATATGACATAAAAAAATTAAGAAGTACAAATGATAACACATAATTGATTAATTTTAAATATAAAAATGATCCAAAAAAAAAAAAAAAGCATAAAAACAAAATCACGCAATTTTCAAACATAGAGCAATGAAATAAATTGAAGCAGCGAAATATTCATAACAAAGTATGAACAATCCAAAAACGTTCATCATAATCATAATCAAATTTTGAAAATTGAAGCAACGAAAAGAATAATAATACATAAATTAAGTTGAAATAAACAGAGCATTATAACACAACAATGTATTGATGATAAAAATTACAAAATTATGATTGTAATTACTCACATTGTTGATGAACAAACGAATCAATCAATCGAACTCTAGAAGACGGAAACACACTTTCGTAATCACGATCGAAATTAGCAGAGGAAGAATCAGCCATTGACGATCAACAACAATTATCAAAATCGTAGGAAAAATAAACGGCAAAATTAGTATAAAATCAAATGAAGAAGATGAATTAACTAGAGAGAATGTAGGTAGAAAAATGGAAATTGATCAATTGAGGAGAGAGAAAATATTGGGTTTAAAATCATTTATATACATAGCTTGAATAATAAGAAACAAGGAATTAAAAAAATAAATAAAAAAAAGGAAAGAATTGAAGCATGAATTAGCTCGTGAGTACTCCCCGCAAGCTACAAAATGGCGTAGCATCAGGGGGTGTAGGTAGACCATCCTACACTAGGATGTAGGGTATAATTTTCACTACGGGGTCTTGTGATGGAACAGTGCCGGGTATAGGTGGGCTTGATGAGAGTGTACCAGCAGAAGAAGGAGAAGGTGAGGTTGGGCTTGAGGAGGCTGGCCAGCAGAAGAAATAGAAGGAGACGGTGGGCCAGTAGGCGTCCCCTTTGCAGTGGGGTACTCCGTATGATTAGAGGTAGTATTTTGGTGATTAAAGTGATGGAAAATTAGATTAACATCTAAAAATTATAGTCATCTTTGTGAGGAGGGTGAAGCTTAGAAAACAGGAATTCGGTTTCAACAAATTTCACATGACGAAAAATTATAATTTTACCACTTGACATATCATAACACTTAGAACCTCAGCTCTATGATTTGGAGCTGGACCAATATAGACACAAGGAGTGGACCTTTCTTGCAATTTGTGAATAGAAGTGGATGGGAATAAGGGAAAATATAGACAACCAAAGACACGAAATTCCAAGTATATGGGATCACATTGGTATGAAATTTGAGTTGAAGACTTAAATATAATCCTAGTACTTTGGTTGGAAGAATGTTTAGAAGATATGTGGCAATTTCTAATGCATGATGCCAAAAGGAGAGAGGCAAAGAAGCATGAGCAAGTAAGGTCTGAATGATGTTGTTTATGGATTTTATGTGGCGTTCGACTTTTCCATTTTGTGGTGATATATGAGGACAAGAAAGTCGGAATAGCATGCTATGGTGATTAGAAAAAAAAAAAACCTTCTTAAATGTGTCATTAATATATTTCGTGCCATTATCACATTGAAAGGTATTAATATTACGATTAAATTGTGTACGTATGAGGCTATGGAAGAATTTAAACAAGTGTTTGACTTGGGATTTCTTAGCAATAGGAAACGTCCACAAAAATTTACTGTAACCATCAAGAAAAAGCACATAATGACAATGGCCAGCTAGAAGAACTCACAACAGGCGAAGTCCAAAGACCACTATGTATAATATCAAAAGGAAAAGCAGTGTACGACATAGAATCATGAAAAGGC